CGAGCGATAACTCAGCGGGAAAGGTCGCGCCTGTATTTATGGTGTAAATTTCAAACCCTGCTTGTTGCAGCCCCATTGCATATTGATGGCATTCAAATCGTGGGATGTGAGCTGCAACGGGGGACTTAAATTATTAAAATGTGGGAACGAGGCTCAAATTCTGCCGCAGATAATGTCTGCCCTTTCCTGCTATTAAGTCACCCGGTCGTCCCAAACTCCCTTCACTGTCCTTTCCTCTCATTATTTTTAATAGCCACATATTTCTCCATCACTTCTCTTCCACAGAGGTGAGGGTGAAAAACCCACATCTCTCAACTTTCAAACAGTCCTTTGGCTTCTTTTTTTTTGTTGTTTAAACTTTGTTGTCGTCATCTCACAGTTTTATCATTTCTAATTGTTTCATCTTTTCATCTTCTGGATTCTTGTTCTTTTGAGGTTAGAGGGAGGGGGTGAGGGTGGGGGGTTGGAGAAGATCCAGCAGTGAACGGCGTGGGTGGAGCAGCCTGGACAGTTCTCTGGACGTTCATATCTATGGTCAGTTTAGAGTGAACAATAAAACGAACGCTCTGATGCTCAGGACCGTGGGAAGAAAACCAAAGATTTTCAGGGTAAAACCCACACCCCCACACACACACACACACACACACAGAGACAGGGTGAACATGCAACCAGGACCGGGAATCAAACCACCAAACTAGTGATCCTCTTCCTCTGTGGCCCATTTTTCCTCATTGTCTGTTTTATAATACCTAAACTACCACAAATTCCACCCAGACCTTCGTCTCCTCCTCAAATTCAACCCCTTTTTCCTCATGTGCTGTTTGTTCATACAGGCCTCAGGAAGTGGGTGTGAAGTTTGTTGGATTAGTTATAGAGAGAGACAGACGGGAGAGAGAGAGAGAGAGAGAGAGAGGGATGGAGAGAGAGAGGAGGGGAAAGGGAGGATACTGATTAAAATAATAAACAGCTGTGTGGAAGAGTGGGGCGAGTGACCAAACAGAGAGAGAGAGAGAGAAGGATGGCGTCGTCAACCTGAGTGTCTGTGTGACACCAACGGCACCGAAGAAAAAGAAAACAACTCTGAGAAGTTTCCACCCAGAATAGGAAATGGAGTAAAGACAGGATGACAAACAGATCAACCTATTTTCTCTGTCAAGAGGAAAAGAGATGATCAGAGCGCCACCTCTGGGGCTGTCCACTCACTGCACGAGGAGACGACGAGACAGCCTCCAGCCTCGAGGTAGCTCCCTCGCCAACACGTGGTTCCAGAAAAAGAAGGAGGCATTCTTTGACTAAGTGGCCCAGTCATGGCAGTGATTAGGAGGGTGTGATAGAGGCAGAGCAGACGGCTGGGCTGCAAACCTGGGGGTTGAGTGTGAGTGGGTAACAGTGGCTCTTTGAGCCTGCTGTGGTTCCTTCCATTCAGAGAAACAAGAAGGAAAACCCTGGGGTTCTTTGTGCCGAGGGTCTCCCCTCGTCAAATGTCTAACGTTGTGTGAGTGTTTTTTTTTTTTTAAACACAAACACCTCTGCTCTGGGCCATGTGCTAACAGCTTCCTTCATAATCAGAGGGGAAGTCGAGGAAGAAAAGTTTTGCATCAGCATTCAAGAAGCAATCTCCAGTCTGCAGACTTCCAATCTAGACGGGACGGGTTTGCCTGTGAGCTTCACTGCCTCACATCTCCTGGCCAGAGGAAGTCCGTGTCTTCGTTGTCAGACCTGGGCTGGCACCGGTCGACCGAGGCATGGCTGCGCCGTAGCCGTCATCCATCACTCTGTCTGCCTCTGTGCAAAAAATATGATCAAAGCATGTGGTGGAATCAGACGACGAAACAGCAGGGTGTGTTTTCACACGGTCAGCGGATTGGTTTATGAAATGCGTCTGTCGTCTTCTTCACGACAGCAACCTGGATGTGACCCGCGTTTATCCACAGTTTTCATCTTCACGTCTCACTTTGACTACAGTTGGACCAAAGTCCCCTTAAATGTTGGATTTGCTCTTGATCCCTGCCCTGACTCTGAGAGTTTGGACCATAACCACCGGAGGACTTGCCTTTCTGCCTGGACCCTGGACCTGTGTGTGATAAAAGAGAAGATGTAGGCGGCGGAGAGAGCGTGGGATCCATCGGAGTGAACGCGACACTATGATTGGCTTGAACTTCAGCTTGCAGGAGTTACTGGGAAAGTTTGAACAGGTACAATTCCACAAGAAACCGGAGGCAGTTTCTGTGACAGCTTGGCCTTCGTCTGTCACTACTTTGTGAACAGAATTTCTGCAAAATCTTTAAATAGATCCACAGCTGCTTTTCCTTCCCTGTAACTGTGTGTATTTAGCTTTAGTACATATTCTCATAAAAAAATGCACTGAAAATAAATCTGTTTTCTGTTTAAACACTTGAACCTTTATTTATTAAGGCAGAATGAAAAGCCAAAGTCATTTCGCTTCTGTAACGTTTGAAAAGTTAGCTTAGTTACTGCAACTTAAAGAGAGTTTTTTTTTAGTTTCAGTGCTTTAAATTTTAACTTTTAAACTAGCATTATTTATTTATAATATAACCTGGTGCCGTTGACATTCCATTTCTGCAGAGGCTCCTGTACATATTTGCTGAATGAGGCTAAGTTTTTGTTTTTGTTTGTTTTCGGCCCATCTTTTATGAATTTAGGAGCAGAAACAGACAAACGTTTAGTTTTTCTTTTTAACTCAAAGCAGTTACCATTTCATTGGACCCTTACAATCACATAAATGACACTTTCGATCTCATTCTGCCCACATCTCCTCTTTACAAAGCCATTTCATTGGACCCTTACAATCACATGAAATGACACTTTCGATCTCACTACAGTGGGTGGGGTCTTTAAACAATAAAAGTGTTTTTCTTCCTTGTGCAGTACAGTAAATAAGGACTCAGGCCAATTACCAAACTTTAGATTTTGTTTTTTATTGCCTTTTTATTAGGCGCTTTATCAAGTTTTCTGGTAAAGAGTGTGTAAATGGAATAACCTTTTCCGCCCTGTTTGTGCTGCTCATTAAGGAACACTTAGAAGCCGGGAGAAAATGAGTACACGGCTCTGGAAATAGGTCTAATTTGTCAAAGTAGACCTTAACTAAAAGGCCATTACAATATCTGGATGTAAAATTCATCTCCACAACAAGAGCCCGGCTGTTTCTGCTGCTTCAGCGGAATCAGTTTTGGTTTTTTTTTTAAACTGTTTTTTATCTTGGGTGAAAGTGTAGTTAGTCGTTATGTAGTGTTTTACGGGGAAACTCTCTCTGATCATATCTACTCTCCATTGATCCCAGGGTCAAAAACAACAGCCAAGAAGCTGAGAACGTTTCTGTTGCCTCTGTGCCCACGAACACACTCACACTGAAGGTGTTTGTGTGGCAGTGGGTTAGTGTCGCAGTGTGTTCCAGTGGAGTCACTCGCCCTCTCTCTGTTCTGGATGTTCATAAATCTTCTGGAGCTCCAAACAATGCGTCACTTCCAGCTATAATTAACAACAATTTCTCTCTCTCTCTCTCTTTCTCTCTCTCTCTTTCTCTCTGTCTGTCTCTCTCTGTTTGAATTGTTTTTTTTCCTAGTATTTAATTAGTTTTTAATCAAAAAGCACATGAATAAATCATGGAACAGAGAAGTTTTTGTCAGCGCGGTGACACTCCTTATTCTCTGCCAGCTTCAGAGGTGAAGAAGCGTGGATGGAGGTGAAGAGACGTTCGCTGCTGCCTCATGATGCAGGTTGACGTGTGGAATAAGTGGCCTCTCACCGGCTGAACTGAGACCTGAAGGCTCTCTTTGTGTGTGAACATGCAGCATGTGCTTCTATATGATTGCACACACACACACACTCTGTGTGTGTCTCCCTCTGTTGTCAGCTGCTGTGCACAGTCAGTGTAAATGCAAAGGGAAAAACAAGCAGGGAAGCGCGGGGTAATGACTTGTTTCACAGCCGCCTGCTTCAGTTTCACTCGGCTTTTTTTTGGTATTTCACTTTTACTCTGTTATTTTTTTTACTTTTTTCCTCTTCATTCTCCGTCTCTTACTTATGTTTTTCTATCACCTTTCGCTTAATTGGTTGAAAACGCCGGCGGGGGCTACAGTCCTCCCACATCAAAGTGGAGGGATTTTCTTTAGCTTTTATAAAGCATGTGGGAAATTACAGCTCAGTGCCAGAGAACACTGTGGTAACTGAAGGTTGTTTGACTTGACTGCAGCTCCAAGTACGTCGCTGTTGGTGCAGCCATGCTGTGAGATGAAAAGATACATTTATTGATTGAAACATCCTAAAAATAAATCCTGAGTTTTATAAATAAAGAATACCAGAAATAGCCTAAAGCTGGTTTATCTAAAAATAGATTCAGGTCCAAACTCAGGTCTCTCAGAGAGGAGCATCAATTCTTCTGTGGTATATTTCCTCTGTACTAACTGTCAGTTTATGTTTCCACATTACTAACATCATTACACTATTTTATCATTGTTAAAAAATGCATGTGCCAGAGTGTTGGCTGATTAATATTCATAAGAACATGGGAACAGCACGATGGTTTATTCGTACATCTGTGCACACGGAGTACAGTCTTGAGCCGACTCTAATAAAACTGATCATTTACTTACTGCTGAATTAACAGTCCCAAAGTACCGGGACGCCGCCGTATTTTACAAGATGAGGCAGGTTTACGCTCACTGTAAAATTAAACAAAGCTGATCTGCATAATCTGCCCTTCATTACATCACAATAAGTTGAACACAAACGTGGTTTGGTTTTGTGAAGGTGACTGATGTTAGCTTTAATGTGTTTTTGTGTTGAATGGAAATTCAAAGCACACACATTCAAACACACACTTGATAATTAGTCAATATACATTGTTACAGCTCGACTGTAATGTCTTTTTTTTTTTTTAAACATTGAGACTAATAAGCTGTTACCGGGTAAAAGAGTGCAAAGAGTTTTCTTGAGCTTTCCTGTACGGTGCCTAATGAAGTCGGCCTCTGTGTTTCCAGGACATTCAGGCAGAGATCGATGCCCACAATGACATCTACAAGAGTGTGGATGGGAACAAGTCCAAGATGGTCAAGGCTCTGGGCAGCTCAGAGGAAGCTGTGTTTCTGCAGCAGAGACTGGACGACATGAACCAACGCTGGAGTGACCTGAAGGCCAAGTCGGCAAACATTCGGTGAGTCCACGGCTCTTTAGTTGGGTTTTTTTTCTAGAAAAGACGCTCAAACTTACACAGGTGTCAAAAACTATGTTGTTGTATTTTATCCACTCAATTTCATATGTTCTTTGTTTAAATTTGCAGCTAATTTCAGATGTAATTAATCCATTTGTTACACATTTATTTTTTCTATTTTAAGGCATTATTCAGTTCATTCTCTTTTATTTTTAAGCAACCAACATTACCTGAAGTATACACCATATGGCTAAAATGCAGCCCTAAATCATTACAGAGCCTGTTGTGACATAAATAATAAATCTGGAGTATTTTCACACCCAGTATATTTTCTCCCGAATACTTTTACTATTTTGATTTTTGATTTGATTTTTAGAAAGATATTTCATTCATAGATTTTTTTCTTACTATACTTGAATGAAGACACTTCTTCCATTTTCTTTTTAAATGTCAATATATGCTTTCCTCATTTGAAAAAACATTTTGTACCTGTCAAACATATAAATCTAATTCTTATGTTGAGTTTAGTTCTCTAAAAAACACATCACCCAGAAATATCATATTTTAATGTGTTTTTTAGAATATTTGCAGGGCTTTTTAAGGTTAAGACGAATAATAAATTGAGTCGAATGCCATTAAGAAGACATTAGTGCATGAGCAGCAGTCTTAAAGATCTCGTTGCACAGCGATGAGTTTTGGCACTCCGTCTTCCACGAGTGTGGGACATAAAAAATTATGCCTGCTCATATGTAATGTCATCACTGTATATTTTATATATGTTTATCCTCTGAACTGGTGTGTAAACAGTCGCGTCCTCACAGATCGAATAGGGAAAATTTCCCCGTTCATCTTTGGAACATACGTTTCATGGAACATACTATTCATGGAAAAACGCCCATGTCTGTTTTTTCCATAAATCTCCGGCGGAGCTCAGGGATGAAAAAGGGTCGTGACAGTGGCACATAAACTTCTGAGGACACAGACGGTGCTGCGTCAGCCGCAACCTTGGCATAAATAAATATGATTGGTGATGGCTGGAGATGTGGGGGGGGCTGAAGAAAATGAAGGTGGAAGTGAAGTTGACAGGGCCAGATGGAGATGTTTAAAGAGGCAGCCAGGAAGAGCCGGTGGACGGAGGGAAGCAGAGTAGCACGGCACAGACACGGAGACAGGTGAAAGGTCAGAGAGACTGAGGAGAAAGTGGCAAAAACCGCTGGAAAAAATGTGCGCTGATGCTCTCTCAGAGTGGAAAAGAATAAATGGGAGTCACCGGAGGTCAGGCGGAGCAGACATAATAGGCTGGGCTTGTTCCGCAGGAAAAAGAGTAAAATAGATAGAGAGAAAATGGTTGGTCTGTGTGGGAGGTGCAGTACACAAGCCATTAGCCCCTAATTACAGTACAGAGTCATTAGATGTAATTCAGCAGCTGCCACAGGAGGTCTCTGTACACACCACGTGTGCACAGATATGTAATATTTACAGTAACTAACGTGTGTCTGTCTGAAGCAGAAGACCTTCAACATCTATGGACTCCATCTACTGCAACCACTCTGGTCTGTAGTACTGTAGTAGTAATGGAGTACAGACCAGAGTGGTCAAAGTACTACTACTAATAATAATAATACTGGCCTTTTCTACTTTAGAAATCTATTATTATTATTATTATTATTATTATTATTATTATTATTATTATTATTGGCAACCCAGATTAATGGGTGTTTATATATATGAGCAGTAAAAAAATACAGTATTTATTTTATACGACTTTATGTACAAGTTTTCTGTATAGTGGAAGAAAGTAGTAAAGTTCTCCTTTATTGGAAAATATATTATTTGATTCTACACACACACACACACACACGATGATCAGCTGAGTGTGTCTTCTTACATTTTGTGTAAGTCGTGTCTTTACTGGCCTTGAGATAGTGTAACCACTGGTGGATGGTTGTCGTTGGCAGAGCCCACCTGGAGGCGAGCGCCGAGCGCTGGTCTCGACTGCTGGGCCTCCTGGAGGAGCTGTGGAGGTGGATCTGCATGAAGGATGAAGACCTGGCCAAGCAGATGCCCATTGGTGGAGATGTTCCCACGTTGCTGCAGCAGCAGAACCACTGCACGGTAAGACGTGATGACACAAAGTGACACAAAGTGGACTTTGATTGGACTTCTCCTCCAGTCAACCGCCTGTATGGACAGGAGTGTCACAATGGCTGATTCACTGTTGTTGACACAACAGCTTTAATATGACATATATGGGAAATAATATAGGTGTAAAAATGTATTAGAAAAATGAGAGCAGTAAAACCTTACCATAAAATAATATACTGAATTACACTAAAGAACCTAATTGGGGCAAATGACATCAATTGTCACATATAGTACATCATACAGTACTTCGTACAGTACATCGTACAGTACTTCGTACAGTACATTATACAGTACATCATACAGTACATGATGCAGTACATCGTACAGTACATCATTCAGTACTTCATACAGTACTTCGTACAGTACATTATACAGTACATCATACAGTACATCATACAGTATATTGTACAGTACATCATACAGTACATGGTACAGTACATCGTACAGTACATCATTCAGTACTTCATACAGTACTTCATACAGTACTTTGTACAGTAGTACAGCAGTGATCTGTTCAGCTGATCTGATGAAGCCGTGACCTAATGACCATGACATTATCCACAACATCAGGCTCATCAGCCTGATGTTGTGGTTGAACCACATCAACACAACTCAGGCCTGATCCTCCACAGTGTTTTATGTGTCCACAGTAAAAACCACAGGAAAATAAAAGCTCACACACACACATACACACAGAGGCCCCTTCTATCAGACACTACAGTCAGTACGGCTGAATCCATACTGTTGTTCTACCTCTTTTATTGTGAGAATTATTGTTGGTCATCTCCCTCACACCTCCCTGTTTCATTTATCCTAACAGTCGATCGATGCCGTCATGGTGCCAACACATTCATATCTTTGTCACCGCCGTTGTTCGTCATCCGTCCTGTGTGTATCATATAGATATAGATATATATTCTAACCGCTGCTCATTGTGAGGCCGCAGCGCTGTGTAATTGCCTTTAGATGGACGACTTCACCGACCGTCTGCTTCTGGTCTGTCTGTTGATGCTGCTGCTGTTTTACACCCGGCTGATCCGCTCACTGTTATTTTCCTTTCCAAAATATCTACATATCTGTGCGGCCACGTCAGCGGAGGGATCAGATCAGCACACACACACACACACACACACACACACAGTGTCCTTGGTGGACTCTGGCTCATCATCTGTAAAAGCAGATTTTCCTCAGCGTACCTCACTGTGTGTGTGTGTCTGTCGTAAGACTTCATTAAGAGACAATTATCCTAAGAACGCAATTACGTGTTCGCAGATTACATTTCATTTTCCCATTATGTTTTGGTGGAGACGTGACAATTGAAGAATAATCTCACAGTCGCTCAGAATCAGTTTTCAAGCAGCCTGAAATGATACGTTTTAAATAACACACAGGGATATTAAAAATGTTTTATATATCAGAAATATATTTTGTTTATTCATATAGTTTCAGGAAAATGAAGAACAACCAACTAAATGATCCATAAAATACAGTCACATGACTGACATGTCTGACCAACCAGAAAAAAAGATCAGTTTTCCTGTTTTTTTTTAAATTTGGTTTCATTTTTTTTATATATGTATATATATATATATATATATATATATATATATGTGATAT